TTTCTCTAGAAAGATGTACATACTCAAGTGAGGAGAGACAATGGACTGTCCAATGTCACAGAGCTAGTGACAGGCCTAAAAACTCAATTCTGTGTGTCTTTCTAGGTAATAATATCACAGAAGCAAACAAACAAACTCTGGATGTGAGGTTCATACACTATCTTCCTATAATCCAAGCCACTCAAGAGGGTCGCTTGAGCCTAGAAATTTCAGTCCATCCTGACCAACATAGCAAGATTCCATCTCTAATTTATTTTTGAAAAATAAAAATAAATTCAAAAAATGAAGACACCTGAGTTTTTGCCTTAATTGTTTGGGCCTTGGGGGAAAAAAATCACTCAATTTTTGGACTCGTTTTCTATAAGTGAATGGCACATAGGCTAGGCCCAACAAAGTGAAAATGATCACTTAAGATCTGATGAATAAATGAACGAATACAGTCTCTCAAGGACCACTATTTCACAAAATTATTTTACTGTCTAATGTTAAAAAAAATAAATCATGCTGCTGGGCCTCAATAGTGAGGCATTCTTATAGGTCCTCATGAAATTTATCTGGGGCCAGTAGGGGCCACCTGTGCCCTTTTTCCCTTGCACAAGTCAGATTTCCAATCTCTTAGCCATGTAACAATTAGACTTTCTCTTTACCCCACTGTGACTTCTTTTTGATTTATTCAGTCTGGGCTTTTCAGTAGGAGGGAGTGAAGTACTACATAGCTGGAAAAACAAGAGACTCTGGAAAAAACAGTTACAGGGAGAAGCTGGAAGAATATTAGATTTCTAGTTATGTATTTTGATGTTTAGCTCATGAATTTGAAATCAGTGTTTAGCTGGACTGACCTATCTCTGCTTGATGTGACATTAGCTGGGATGGCTCAAAGGTCTGGAGTTGAAATAATCTAAAGTCTGACTGCTTTCAGTGAGGGTGGTTGGCCTAACAGCTGCACATGGATTATCCATACAGTCTCTCTGCTTCCTCATGACATGGTGGTTGGGCACAAGAGTGAGCCTCCCAAGAAGACCAGACAGAAACTGTATCACCTTTTATAACACAGATTACGAAGTTACATAGCATCATTTCCACCATAGTCATAGGCCTCTCAGATTCAAGAGGTGGAAATACAGTTGACCCTTGAACAATGTGAGGGTAACTGGCGGCTACCTCCAGTGCAGTCAGAAATCCATGTATAACTTTTGACTCCCCAGGTACTTAACTACTAATAGCCTACTGTTGATTAGAAGCCTTACAGATAACATAAAAGATTGATTGACACATTTGTATTTGTATTATATGCTGTATTCTTACAAGAAAGTAACCTAGAGAAAGAAAATGTTATTAAGAAAATCATAAGGAAGAGAAAATATATTTACTGTTCGTGAGATGAAAGTGTATTGTCAAAAAGGTCTTTATCTGTATTGTCTTCACATTGAGTAGACTGAGGAGGAGGAGGAAGAGGGTGTAGGTATACTTTCTCAGGGGTAGCAGAAGTGGAGGGAGCAGAAGAGGCTGGCTCTCTCTGCTTAGCTTTTATTGAAAAAAATGCACGTCTAAGTAGACCTGTGCAGCTCAAACCTGTGTTGCTTAAGGAATAACTGTAGATCCCATTTCCCAATGAGAAGAATATCATTATTACATTGTAGGAAGAGCTGTGGAATGGAGAGCACATTGCATGCCATCTTGGAATACACCATCTGCCACAAGCCATGATCAGTATCCCTGGTGCGTTCATAAACACTGAGCTTGTCAACTAAATTAGCTCTTGTTCAACAATAACCCCAGAGAATATATTTGTGTATACTTAAATACATACATATATACATACATAATAAGTAGTTAGTGAATAAGACTAATTCTTGGATTCAGCTTGCTTCCAAGATATTTTCCGTGTTATGCCTAAGGGTAAGGGCAGGGAATTGGGCCACTCAGTTAATTTAAAATTAAAGTGTTTCACTGTCACCATCTTTTTTTTTTTTTTCTGGGAAAATAAATCAGGCTGCTGAGTTTTGGACCCAAATCATTTCCATGGTAACACAGCCTAATATGCTAAAAGGCAGGTCATAGTTCCTTCCAATATTTGAAATATCTGTATATGGTCTGCATTGCTGAGGTGGGTGGATCACAAGTTCAGGAGATCAAGACTATCCTGGCTAACATGGTGAAATCCCATCTCTACTAAAAATACCACAAATTACCCAGGTGTGGTAGCATGCTCTTATGGTCCCAGCTGCTCGGGAGGCTGAGGCAGGAGAATTGCTTGAACCTGGGAGGAAGGTTGCAGTGAGCTGAGATTGCACCACTGCACTCCAGCCTGGATGACAGAGCGAGACTCTGTCTCAAAAAAAAAAAAAAAAGAAAAGAAAATAGCACACTTAGCAGAGAATAACATTACCATTAACCCCCCCAGACACACACACACACACACATACATATACACTCATGCACATATTTATACACATGCTTAAACACACAAGAAACATGAGTGTTAAACAAATTTCACAATTTATACTAAATGATTTTAAGTATGGGGGAAGTGTGTAGGAATGACACTGTTCAGCCTGGTCCTCTCAGGTCTGCATTAAGCCAAATGTTCTTATTTGGATTTTTGATCAGTTAGTTGACTTTAGGCAGATTCTGATCATGTAAAGCCTGGAGAGAAACAAGTCAACAATCGTAGATACAGAAGGGGGAATAGTTACAATCTTTGGAAATTCCAAATCGTTCAATGTGGATTAAGAGTCCTTTACATCTAAGGGAGGATAATGAGGCTGTACAGTCTTATTTTTAATTTTAGGACTTTTAATTATGAATTATTTCAAATATACAGAAAAGTATAGAAAATATAATAATATGAGAGCTTTATATCTATCCCCATAGTTAGCACGCATTAGCCATTGGCTACGTTATTCTCAAATCCCTTTTCTTTCTAAATGAATAAAGTATTAACTATTCAGTCAGCTCACTACTTACCTCTTCCTTTACCGCCGTACCCTCCCCAGAAATCATTCTCAAAACATTATGTGTGATATTCCTTTGTATATTTCCATATATTAGTGCTGTTAAAAGGTCAACTGAGGCACTTTAAAGCTTTGGAATTTTTTTGACCAGACGACGACTCGTGAATTGGGCATCTCCAAATTGCAGATGATTCTGGGCCCCACTGAAGGGTCATGAAGGGCTTTTGTTGAGCTGACATGAAAACAAGTCAAAGAGACTCTATCATCACTTAAAGTGGAGAAATAGCCTTATTTGTATCATTCCAGTGAGAAGTCCCTTAGTTGGCAGTGTTTGACTGGCTAAGCTTAAATTTCCTTTTACTGTTTACACTTTGGTTTATGTAGGAATCCTGGATGCTTAAGCCACCTCAGTCTAATGGCCTCTCAATTAATTATTTTAACAGTACTTAAGAAGAGATCCCTATACTGTTGTATCTTTATATTTTAAAAGTGTGAGAAATGGGATGAGAGTCTGTGTCCTTTTGCACCTTGTTTCTATCACTCCACATTTTGATTTTGTGCTTTAGCCATGGGTGAACATGCCACCTGGAGAGTGGAGATGAGCTTTCACTGTTGCACAGTTTATCATTTGTTCAACTAAATTTATAGTTCACCTGAGAATGGGTTGACAATGACAGGTTTTGCATTTATTGAAAATGCTAATGATAGGCAGACAGGACTGGACACCAGACAGAAGAGTGAACACAAGAAAAAAGAAATGTGGTTATTCGTACCCTAGCTGTTCCATCTACTCTTCAGGATAATATAGTACATGGAGCGTATAATCCAGCCTATAAGGGCAGTTACAGGGGCTGCATAGTCTTTGATGATTGCAGGATAGAAGCCCAGTGATTTTCCAGGAGGTAGTCTACCCTAAGTGAGGTCTAGGCTTGTGCAGGGATTAAGGAGCCAAATCTCTGGGCTACCATCAGAAAACTGGTGATTCCTTGTAACCCAGTCCCTATTTCTTGCTCCTCTAGATGTCCTTTTCTACTGGGAACTGTCTTACTAGTGAGATCTGTATCACACAGGTTGGGAGAGCAGGGAGGTTAGGTGGGTGGCTTCCGTTCGGGTTCCTTCTTGTCCTTCCACTCCCATACCCAGTTCCATTTCCTACTGCCATGAGAAACACCTCACTTGATGCTCTACGCCAACTGCCAGTTAGTGAGTTTCAACTTTTTAAAATGTTGTTAAAACAAAATAACTAAAGGGGTATTTATTTCCAGGAAACAAAATTGAGTCACTGATTTCATCAGATATATGTGAGCTATTATGTATACTCTGTCTCTCCTCCATGTACTATATTACCCTGAATGTTTCAGAGACACTCCTTACATACAGAAGTTCCCTCAAAACAAAAAGCAACTATGCACACATTTTACTTTTTAGATGGCATTTACTTATTCAATAATATCTACAAAATTAAATGTTATAGTGACCTTGTGTCACTGTCAACTAGTTACATTTTATTTCTGTTGCATTTCCAAGTGAGTTAAACTACCAGCAAGTGGCTTTATGCAAATTAAACCACATGGAAGCTTTTTAGGCCTTGTTCAAATACTAACAGGTTTGATAAATATATTTGTCTAGCAAGAATAGGACAAAGAGCTCTCTGTTTACCGACATAGTTTATTGTCATTCTGCTGTATACCTCTCATGTGGCTGTTTTATAGGACATAAAGTCTAGCTATCCAGTCGGAATCTCAGATCTTATTTATAGCTTGTTGCAAAGTGGCTTATTGTCATTTATTATTTCTTAGTTGATTTATATAGCATCTTTTCACCAAAGAACCCATAGATTTATTTACATACAGAGTACACACACAAACTCACATATACACATTCTTATACACATCCTTGAACTGAATTCCCTCAATCCTATGATGTAGCTAGCAGTATAGCACCAGAAGTCTGTATGAGCCTTTTCCATTTGTTGTTGTTCTAAGACCGTGTTCTGGGAGGGCAGCTGCCATATTTTCTTTCACTTTGTTTATCTTTTGCCTCTAGGTGGATCGGATCATTTTCTGTGTCTTCTTAGAAGTTGACTTCAAAATCTACAAAAAGAAAATGAATGAGTTTTTCTCTGTAGGTGAGTAAAGCAACTTCTTGTTTCCTTTCAAGCTGAGGATTGAAGAAGTGTAGGCATCATTTCTGTTCCTATTGTTTTTCATCTTTGGGACAGTCACACGCTGTCACCCCTGCCAACTTGTATCATAGTTTCTAAGAACTGAACAAGGAGACAGAAAATTTACGCTCTCGGACTCTCTGCCCCAAGAGGTCACTGTGTTGTCTTAGGGAAGTCAGTTCATCTCTTGGGTCTCAGTGCTTCACATCAAAACTGAGGGGCTAATTATTAATAAATGATTTCTAAAGACACTTCCCCTGGCCCTAAATTGCATGATCTGCCCTTCCTTCTCTAACTTGTAAGTTTGCTGGGCCCCATGCCTACATCTACCATGTTAAATAACCCTGTTGGAAATTGGAAGCCCATTGATATTCATAATCAGAATTCAAACTGCTCCAGCATTCCATCCCTATTCCGTCCCCAGTTTCTAACTCCAAATTTTAACGACTGTAGAAGCAGTTCCAGGACAGTCTGAAAACAGTAGTCATTCACACTTCTTTTTAGAATATAGGAGAAACCTCAGGGTTATCAGAGAACCTTGAGTAATGTATTTACATCGACTGAATGTGCCATTAGTTAGACTTGAGTAATTTGGATACTTTCCTTCACCCTTCCTCTTGCAGCCTATTAAGGCTGAGGCTTGCTTAATGCCTTGTTATTTTTATGGTGCCATTAAAGTCACAGTGTCCAAAGTGCTTTCCTTAGCCATGGCAAGAATTGCTTCCAGGAAATTTCAAGCTACTGTGAGCATTGTTGGTCCTTGCTTTTGAGAGTTTTCTTTTGAGGTTTCCGTCCCCATCTGAAGTGGTTTGTCATACAACAGGTGACTCTGGCAGGTGGGAAGGAGTGAGTAAAGGCACATTCATCCTCTTAAGCAATCTATCAGAGCAAAACAATAAAGATGGTGCCTTGCCTGTAGATCAGAGTGGGATGTGGGTAGCTGTCCAGAACAGCTGCAGAAAACCAATAGAGATGGCCAACTCTCTGCTTATGCCCTAAGTGGGCTAAGTTCTTCTAAGTAACTTGAAGTACTTCCCCCTAATTTTATAATTTAAAAGTGAATCTGCTAAGTGCATTTAATTTAGGGCTTTAACTACAGTATATCTCTAAAATGTGACTTGCTATGATGTATGAAGCAAATATTCTCATATCCTGTCAGTATCAAATCATAATTTGTAAGATTTTATAAATTTTAGACTCTTTGAGATGTTTGGAAATAATGGCATCATATTCATTTGCGTGTCTTCTAAAATAAAGTCTGCAGGAAGCCACACTAATATAAGATAAAAAATAATTACATAATTATGATCTATTGATATTGAAACTAATCTATCAGCAGATATTTCCAATGATGCAGAATCAAAAAGCATACTGCAAAATTTTTTAAAAATGAGATAGTTTTAGGAGTGTTAAATATATTAATTATGCAAATTATTGTTTGAAAAATTGCTACTTTAAATACATTTTTTAATGCATTGCAGTACATGAGCATGTGAAGTAATAAAATCATCCTCAATCACACATCAATGCTTTGAAGTACACAGTGCTCATGAAATTATTTTCAATCCATATTTACAATAGTAAGTACATTTAAAATGAAATGTCAAAATCCTCAAAAATGCTAGAGTGTTTCTGCACGTCGAAACACTAGGTATTTGAAAATTCTAAATATATAATATGCAATAAAGGTGATGCCTAATGGAATGTGACTACTAATATAGATAATATTCCTTATCTGTCAATAATCTGAACTTTTAATTCATAACTATGCCATCTTTGAATTCGAATATATTTCTTACTTGTCATGTATTTCCTTAGACTGAATTATTACTGAAAATATCTGTGGCAAGTGTTCATAATCTTTCCCAATGCAATAATGACAATCAGAAAAAAATCATTTTTATAATTAAACAAAATATCTGTGTTTTAGAGTACTTTAATCCCATGTCTGTAAATTTTATAATCGGGACTCTGAGGCACAATGCATGATAAAACAATAAAAGACTGAAAGAGATCATACTAAAGGTATGACACAGGCATAACTGCTATAGTTCAATAATAAGAGTTCAATGAAAATTACTATTACAGCTCAATAATAATGTTGATAGTTAACAATCATGATTAATATATTAAATAATAACATAATGGTTAATCATAATTCAAACACTTTTTATTTGCTTTCATCAGCCAGCCACAGCATTCATTTCTTTACATGGGTAAATCATTAATCCTCATGATAACTCTAAGAAAGGAGGTACTGTATTCACCCTGTGCTGTGGCTCCATTGTTAGGGTTTTTTCCTAATTTGGTCTTGAGGTTTCTCTCTCTTGAGAATGGCCATAAGCCAGGATAGCCACTATCCAGGAGAGCTCTGAAAGGGTTTGGGGAAAAGTTGTGTTCAGATATGTGTGTCAGGGGAGACATAGCGAGGAAGTGAAACTAAAATGCGTCAAGCAGAAGACACGTATTACTCACAGGTCCCAGACAGATGAGGGATGCCAACAGGAAGCCTGGAGGTGGCAGGGAGTCCAGCCAGCAAGTAGCAAGCAAGAGAGAGTGAGCACCTGGGGACTGTCTTTATTAGGTCCGTATGCACCACCCCTTAGGCTTTCCCATGGGGGTTGTGGATGGACTAAAGAAAACAGGAAGCAGGAACGTACTTCAATGATTCTGACACTACTAGATTTTTATCATGATCAACAGTTATGGAGCATATTGGGTTTGGGGTCAGCTGGATGAGGAACAAGTGGAGCATATCACAAACAATCACACAGGGAGGGAAGTTTAAGTAAGTCAAAGGTAGCAGGATACAACTGGGTTTCAAGCAACTTACCTTAGGCCTAAATATGGATGCTAGCCAGGTACAGTGGCTCATACCTGTAAAAGGAGGATTGCTTGAATCCAGGAATTTGAGGCTAGCCTAGACAACATAGCAAGAACTTGTCTCTACCAAAAAAAAAAAAAGTTAAAAATTAGCTGGGCTTAGGGGCACATTTCTATAGTCCCGCCTACTCAGAAGGCTGAGATGGAAGGACCACTTGGGTCTGGGAGTTTGAGGCTGGAGTTGGCTATGATTGCACCACTGAACTCCAGCCTGGATGACAGAGCGAGACCCCATCTCTAAAAAATATTAATCAATCAATCAATATTGTAGAGATTTTAAGGCCAAAAGGAAAAAAAAAAGTGGATGCCAAGGCAGCAACTATATTAAACAAATTTATGATACCTTCTGTTTCGGGGATGAAAAACGAGGCATTCAGTTAGAAAGCAACAGAGCTGTATTTTAAAATTGAGAACAGCATCTGCCATTGCCCAAGTGGCAACAGGTTTGTTTTCTCAGAACATCTTCATAGAAAGATGAGATCAACTTCCAGGCTGCATTTGGAGTATTGGGAAAGTCCCATTTCAACGGGTGCCCATCATTTTTCCGAGATGCCACACTTCTCTTTCTTTTAACACCTAGAAATATCTTCATGGAGAATTTTTCTAATAGGAGTCAAATTAGTGCTTTTACTATTCATCTCAAAATTGAATTCCATTCACATCATAGAGGTATTGTGGCGCTGTGATCTGCAGATGAGCAGGTAAGTGGTGAAGGAGAAGCCCAATGGCCTTTATAGCACATCTACAGGCGCAGATGGAAAATTGCTTCTATTAGGGTACCAGGGCTCCAAAAACAAAGTACCACAGAGCGGGTGGCTTAAACCACAAAAATTTATTTTCTGATTATTCTGGACACTGGAAGTCCAAGACCAAGTGGGGCCTCTTCTGAGGCCTCACTCCTTGGCCTGTAGATGTCTGTCTTCTCCCTGTACGTTAAAATGACTTTCCCGCTGAGTCATTTGCGCTGTATCTTTCTCTTCGTATAAGCATACCAGTCAAATGGGATTAGGACCTACTCTAATTACCTCATTTTAATTTAATTAGCTCTTAAAGGTCCTATCTCCAAATACAGTCATATTCTAAGATGTGGGGGTTAGACCTTCAACATAAAAATTCACAGGGAGGGGAGCATCACCCACTGGGGTCTGTAGGGGGTAACTAGGGGAGGGACAGTGGGGTGTGGGAAGTAGGGAAGGGATAACATGGGGAGAAATGCCAGATATAGGTGATTGGGAGCAAGGCAGCAAACCATATTGTCATGTATGTACCTATGCAACAATCTTGCATGTTCTTCACATGTACCCCAAAACCTAAAGTGCAGTAAAATATATATTAAAAAAAAAAAAAACGATTTGAGAGTTGAGATATAACTACTATTTAGCAAAATAAGAAAGGTTAAAAAAAAAAATTCGCAGGACACAGTTCAGCCCACAACACTGCCCATTGTAGAAATGCATTAAGAAACTCCAGGGAAACCAGCAATGAATTTTTTTTTCAACAGTTTTATATCTTGCTGTGGGGTAAAGCACATTTGACTTTTTCCATCCAGATGTATTATTTGAAAGTAGAGTGTGGCAGCTTTATGGAATTATCATACACTTTGGTTGCAAATAATTTATAGTTCCAGCGCACCATTACATGGCCTACAGCAAATAATAGTTGTGTGATTCAACTCGGAAATCTCTTTGTTCTTTACATAAAAAGGCTTGTATTTTTTCAATGTGTAGAATTTATTGTGTGTAGTTTTCACTGGATGTAAAAAAATGAAAAAAAGAAAAGACAATTCCTGATCTGGAATATGGAAGTCAGTTTTATTTATTTATTTTTTTAACTAGAGTCTTAGTTAATAGAGAACGGGGGGATATTAGTTTTCCTCATAATAGCAATAAAGAACATACAGTTTATAACAATATTAAAGAATCCTGATATTTGAAGCTTGAGACATCATGGTTAAACCCTCCTCTGCTCCTCCCTTTAGGGAAAGCCAATCTTCTCAACTAGGAATGATTTTGCCCTCCTAGGGACATTCTGAGGTATTTTTGTTTTTCACAACTGAGGGAAGGAAGAGGCTACTGTCCTTT